AACGGGAAAAGGGGGGAAGGACAAAAAAAAGAATTTGTGCAGAGGGCCCCCGTGCAGCGAGAATCGGCGAGGGACTCCGAAGAGAGATAGGGAGAGGCAGACGCGCGCCGAAGTCCGACACATGCGTCATGCGTCAAGATCAAGATGTATATCATATAACAGTGGCCAGGGGCGGGGCTTGCATTTTTGCCGTCGCCAGTCGCCCCCCCAAACCGCAAACGCTACAGCGGGGGCGGCGGCGGCGGCGGGGGCGGCGGCGGCGGCGCGACGGGGTGGGTGGGGTGTGGGGAGGTGCTGCTGTGTGCGCTGCGCGTGCGCGCACCGCACACCATACTCGAGTACGGCGGGAAACAGACGGCGAGGGGGGCGCGGCGGCAGCGGCGGCAGAGCGCGCGCGCGGCGCGCGCGACGGAGGGGCGGAGCAGCGACCGCGCGCGCGGTCGCTGCTCCGTCTGTCCCGGAGCGCCGTCGGATAAACGCTGCGCCGCCCCCGCACCAGCGACACCGGCCGCGGCTCGCCTCCACGCGCCGGCTCGGAAGAGGGGCTGTCGGCGGCGCAGCAGAGCGGCACGCCTCGGCGCTCGAGCCGCCGACAGCCCCACTCCTCGACGTGACGGCCGCTCCCGGAGCCAGCCGGTGCGCGCCCGACCCACGCCCCCTCTCGCACCCCTCCGACCCCCCCTGCGCGGCGCACCTATCCGCTGTGCGCCGGCTCGAACGCCTATCGCCAAATCGCGACGTTTGAGCGCAGCGCACGCGTCCCACACGTCACGCGCGCGCAGGAGAGCGTGCGGCACAGCTGTAGCGTGTACTCGCCGAGGGCATCGCGCCGAAAACCCCGCGCATTCCGCCCCAGCAGAGGCTGCAGCCTCTGCACAAGCTACACCACTGTAAGAACGGTGAGTACTTGGGGTTGAGTGGGCTTGCTTGCTCCCTTAGCCGGGAGCAAAAATGCAAGAATGTAAGATAAAGCCGATAGGCTTTAAACGCGATCTCGTCCGAAGAAACGGCTTTATCTAGGAGAGATACGAGAGTTCTGTCAGGTGCGCGACCGCGGCTAGATTGATTGTGTCAGAGCCGGAGGCTCTCGAGCTTGAGGGCGAGGTGCGTCGACTCGTCCTTCATCTGGACGGTGTAGCGCCGCCGCTCGCGGTCAAAGGAGATCACCTTGCAGGTGGACCCGTTCCAGCGCGGCTGCGAGACGAGCCCGACGACGGTCGCCCTCGCCCCCTGAGGCAGGATCAGGTTGTCCGGCTTGACCGAGACCACCTGAGGGGCGACGAGGGGCGAGGAGGGGGTGGGGAGAGGGAGGGGTCGGACAGGGCGGCGGGTGTGTGGGCGTGGTTGGGTGGTCTCTCTGCGGTCTCTCTCTGCTCGCCTGCCCGTCGAGGCTGACGTGGTACCTCCCGCCCGACGCGTCCCAGCCCGTGACGCGCCCCTCGCGCCCGTTGAGCTCCGGCTTCCGCTCGATGCCCGTCAGCTCGGCGGAGCAGGACTGGAGCAGGTTCTCCGGCTTGAGGCGCAGCACCTGTCCGGCGAGGGCAGGGCGGGTGGGAGGTGGGAGGACGGAGGAGGAGGATTGCTCTGAAGTGGAGCACCTCGCCGTCGTCGAGCTGCACCGTGTACCGCCCCGTCGCGGCGTTGCTCTCGTTCACCTCGCCGCTCTTGCCGTTGTGCTGCGCCGCGCCCTGCAGGCCCCGCACCGTTACACGCGTCCCGCCCGGCAGCACTTCGGGCCGCCCCCACCGCGACGAGGAGGCGATTTCCGCAGCGGATGGCGGCCGCGCGGTTGGTGGCGTCGGCGGCGTTGTCGGCGGTGCGCGCGGCCGCACCGGCGACACAGAGGGTGGCCACTCGGGCGAATCAGCTGCGGCGCCTGGCGTTGCGGCCACCGTCACCGCGCGCCCCTGGCCATCAACGCATGGCGACAGAAACTTTGGAGCTCCCGTCGGCGACCTGCATGATCCGCACGCGAAAAAGAGCATCCCGCCGGCGTGCTTTCGTAGTACCTTGGCCTGGTTGCCGCATTCTTTGCACACTGGCGCCAGCCGCTGCTGCTGCCTCTTGGCCGCGGCGATGGCCGCGCTGTCGTCGGAAGTTGCCTGGTGCCACCGACGCAGCCTTTCCTCCTCCTCGTTTAGGGGCCGCTTGCTCATTGTCGATCAGGAGCCGTCGCGAGAAGAAAATCATGGCGCGCGCACTGTACGAGAAGAAAATGTCCGCGCTTCTGGTTTGATTTTCCAAATGCTTCTATGCGAGAAGAAATGTCCGCCCTCTCCTATGCGAGCCGCAAAGAAAGCTGCAGTCGCTCGCGTTTTCGAGCGAATGACCTTCAAACAACTCTTGAAACAACTCTCTCTCTAGTGACCTTCGTCCGGGCCCACAGCCGGCACGCCATCGTCGATTCCGCGCGCTCGGCCTCCACCTAGCCTCCACCGGCTTGCTGGGCGGACGGCTTCTTGACCCCTCTCTCTTCTCTTCTTGTGGCTCTCGTCGAGAGAGAGCGTTTTGGGAGAGAGAGAGTCTCTTCCTTGCGTTTTGGGAGAGAGAGAGAGAGATTTTTAGTTTTACTCGAGTATAAACACTATAATTTGTTGCGTTTTGGCGGCCCGGCGGGTGGGAGAATATGTGTCGTCTGATGTGTCACTGTGTGTACGTCACATCGGTCTTGATAACAAGCACGGTCGATCCGTCAAAGCGATACACTCGTTCCTATCTCGCTGGAGGGCTGGCACGGAGCTCTGCCTGTGCCGGCAAACAGGAAGGAAGAGCCGTGCGGCAAGAAGGGCTCGATGGGGAGCGAGAAGCGTCAGAAGAGCAGGGTTAACCTGAAGTCCGTCGTGACGCTCTTATTTCCCGCCAGGTTTGACCGCGCAGCTTTCAAAACTCGACGATATCTTCCGGAAAGACTGACTGAACTTCCCGCAGCCGCGGCAGCATGACCGAGGCGCAGAGAGAGAGGCTGCGAGTGCTCGACGAGTCTTGCGAGCTGCGCGGTCAAACCTGGGGGGAACTGACCGCATCAGGGTGGATTTCCAACCTCCGTGAGCGCCTTTGGCGCACTCGAGCCACCATCCTCAGGGCGCCTCCTTCCATCCCGAGCAGCGGCCGCCCCCGCCATCTCCGCCCCCGCCATTCCCACCAGTCGCAGGAATCGGGGGAGAGCGCACAGAGCGGCCGGCACCGCTCCGGCCTCTCCAGCAAGCTCATGTAGCACTCGCAGCGTTGCCACCGCGTCTTTTGCTTCCTCCCCGCCTCCCACAGCCTTGCCTGACCAAGGTAGGAATGGGAATGACAGGGAGTCGGGCTGCCAGCGCACCACCCTCCATGGTGCCATGAAGTCCACCGCCCCGCAGCACGACTGCGCAGTCCACGCTAGCGTCCGCCGGTCCCCGCCCCCATACCACGTGGGGGCCCACATCGTCGGTAAAAGAAAGAAAGAAAGAAAACAGACAAACCCAGACGAGGGATGGGGGAGGAGGACAGGGTCCCCACCTGCACGAGCAGGATTTTGGAAGGACGATCAGGGGGACAGGTGGGGCTCTCCTGCTCCTGACGAGGGACACAACAGGCTCGCAGCGCGGTGCACGGTGGGCTCCCAACTCCACTGGCGGTCTCATCTCAGTCTAAATAATAAATAAATACAACGGACATCCCAAGCTAGGGCTGGGTCGAGGACAGACACGTCCCCACCTTTGCAGGATTTTGCAAAAGCGAGGGGGGAGGGCGCATCGCCGCGCGGAGAGGGCTGGGCACAGGGCACAGGGGATCTCTCTCGCATAGGATATGCACTCGGCGGCACGAGGGCAAGGCTGGGCGTCCTATGTTTGTGCTCCCCCCCGGACCCCTCGCTCTCGGGCACTAACCATCTGACCACTCATCGACGGGGCTTGGCGAGCGGCCGCGCTGCGGGGCAGGGCTGGTGAGAATGGGCTCTGGCCACTCGCCCGTGCGGTTGTAACCCCGCATCTGTCGGACAGAGGCCTCGACCGCCCCTCGCGGCAAGCTCTCGAGCATCTCGAGCAGCTCGCCCGCCTCAGTCTCGTCGGTGCGCCGAGCCCTGGAATTTTCTTTTGCAACGCGCTGGGGCCGCGCTGCTCGAGCAGCGTGCGCCTGTCATGGTGCTGCACGACGCCGACGGCTTCCTGACGCAGCTCACGCGCATGCTGGAGCGGTCGCGCGAGAAGGGCGCCGTCTACGTCACGATGAAGCGATGTGCGTTTGCGCCTGCCGCGCCCGCCGCCGGTGTAGCACGCCTGAGCGTGCCGCTCCCGCCCCGTGCAGACGCGGGGATTGAGGGCAAGCGGGGCGAGCCGGTCGACCCCGCCGACTGCCGCTGCCTCGTTCGCGCCGTGCTCGGCAGCACCAAGGCAACAGTAACGCGCCACCGCACACCAGCACAGCACGACTGCCGCACACCAGCACCGGACCGGCTTGAAGGCCAGCGGGCCCGCGCCTCACGGTGCGCCGCATGCCCCAAGGCGTCGACGATGGTCGCCGCCAAGGACCACCGCCGCTTCATGAAGTCGTACGCAAACATCATGAAGGCGGGCGCCACCGCCTCCCCTCGGCCGATTCCCGCGTCTCTCCGGCCGCCCAAGCGCCTCCCTCCGTGCCGCCGCCACCGGCGCCGCCTCCACCGACGCCGTTTGCGCGCGCGCGCGCACCGCCGCTTGCCCGGCCGCGTGCCCCTCTGGCGCTTGCTCCTCTGCCCCATCCATCCCTGCGCAAGGCTCCCACCTCGACCCTGCCGCCGGCCAGGTGTCGCTCGACTCGCTCAAGAAGAAGGAGCGCAGGCGAGGCGGCGAGAAGAAGAAGGCGGGCGCTGCCTAGAGGGTGGCGGCTTTGGAACCCGACCGCCGGGTGGGCACCGCTATGTACCGTTGTCCGTTCATGTCTTCTCGAGGCAGTTTTGAGTTTACACGCGCGCATCGCGCGTCGATCCGTCGTCAACGTCATTCGTTGTGCACACGATTTTCCGCGCTGGCGACACCCTGGTCTCTGACGTGAGACCCCCCCCCCATCCCCGACGCTTGGGACCAAGGGCCAAGGAGACACACGCCACATGCGCCGTCAGCGCCGCCTTGGCCCGCGAGTCAGTTTTGCGAGTTGGCGCGCCGGCCGCTTTGCCGGTCCGCTGTGCGTGACGGTGAGGCGTGTGTGTCGGTGTGCCGCGCAAGGCCGGTAAGGCCCTACAGCCTGCATAGACGGCAGGCGCTCTGCCTCCTAGTATTCCCCCCACCTATTATCTCTCTGTTAGCCGCCTCACGGCACTCGCTGCGCGTTGAGATCGTGTCGCTGGCACCACTGCTGCACGAATGGCGAGAGGTCGACGCCCGCCGGCGCGTACCACGCCTTCCGCTTCCTGTCCCACCGTCCTCCGAGCGCCTTGCAGGCGTCCTTCTGCGCGAAGGGCGTGTCGAGGTACGTGCGGAAGGCGGAGGGGCCCGCGGGCGGCGGCGGCGGCTGCTGAGGCGGGTACGGCAAGGGCGGCGGCTGCCGAGGCGGGCACTGCTCTGGCGCCCTCTCGCCGGGCGGCGGTTGTGGCGGCGGCAGCGCGGACATTGCGGGCGCGTGGACGGGTGCAGGCAGCGCAGGCGGACTTGGGCCCGGCACGACGCAGAAGACCCGCATCGGCTTGACCTGCCGCCGCGCCTCTGCGTCAGCGCTCTTTTCGTCCTGCAGAGCGAGCCCCGCTCTGGCGCCAACCACGCTCACGTAGTAGTGGATGACGTGGCGGACAAAGGGCGAGACCGGTTCGGTGGCGAGGCAAGCGCCCTCGCCTGCCACCGCCGCGAACGCCCGCAGCGCCGCCACCCACCCCGCCGCCGTCCGCACCTCCTCCTCGATGTCCTCGACGGTGCGCGTGGTCACGTCCAGGTTGGCGGCCTCCCGCACCGCCGACGTGGCCATCTCCTCGTCGCTGGCACGAGGCGGGACGCGCTGCACCTCCGCCACCGTGTCCTGCAGCGCCGCCAGCGCGCCATCCTCCAAGTCGCCCGCCGGCGCCTCCTCCTCCTCCTCCTCCTCGTCGTCGTCGTCGCCGTCCTCCTCCTGCTGCTGCTGCTCGTCGCTGAGTCCCTCGGCGAGAACGATCTGCGTGCCGGGCGCCATCGCCGCGCCGCGCCGCTTGATGTTGCGCGGCGCCGGCTCGAACCAGAGCGGGTTTTTGATGTCGGCGTGCGAGTCCGGGCCAGACAGCGCGTTGGCGCCGTGCCGCTGCCGGCTCACGTGGCAGAGGACGCGCTGCCCTCGCGCCGCGGCGCGGTCGCGCCCGCGAATCCCGACAGCCTTGGCCGCCCTCCGGTACACGCACTCGCGCCTCTTGTTGGTGGCATAGAACTGGCTGAGCTCGGGCAGCTCGCGCGCGACGGCAAAGAAGAAGGCCTCGAGGCGCGGCTTGACGAGCGCGTTGGCGACGTTGAAGAGGTGCATCAGCTCGGGCGGCACGAGGCCGTACCGCTCCTCGCGCGCCGCGCGCCGCGCGTCCGCGCCGCAGGCCGCCGACGCGCCGCCGGACCCGAGGCGCGGCACCTTGCGCCTCGCGGTCGACGGCGTGGGCGCCTCTGCGGCGGAGCGCTTTGCCGGCTCCGCGGCCGGCTCAGCGCGTGGCGAAGGGCTGGTGGGGCCGGACGGAGGATCGTCGTCGAAGAGCGCTGCGATTTCGGGGAGCATCACCGGGGATGGTCGCTTGGCAGCCGGCACGTTGGTTGAAGAAACAAGCTGGCGCGCCTGAGGTGGCGGCCCCTCCCTTTTTGCTTGGCCTTGGGGGTTTTTCTGTATTTATTAAGAGAAGAGGCCGAGTGCGATTCCTATGCGCCAGAGATGAGAGAT